AGAGCAAATAAAAGATCGATTTCAGTAAAGACCATTAAAAATATTCGAAAAATATTAGAATAAATTTTAATTCAACATACATACATACATAGGTGTGTGCCATTTATTTTGAAAGTGGCATAAAGCATTTCATGCCGTTTGGATTCAGTTATCATTTAGCTATACATATATCTGAATGCGTAACAGACGCAACTTCATCAGCCAAATGTAAAAAGTTTTGTCATTAGTTTATGACGATAGAACGATTTACAGATGCACCCAGCTGGAAGTAACCAACCAAGAGTTGGAAGAGACTTATGCCCCATTCAAAATAAACGGCTCAGATTAATAATTATATAGAATGAATGAATGAATGAATGTACATATGCACATGTACTGAATAAAATGAGCAAGTCACTGTTCAGAACTGGGGGAAATGATTTGCACGCATTCAAATTAGTACAAACATAAATTCATGAACGTTTCATGTTTTCGCGTTTATACTATGTGCATACAAAGCCTAGCTTAATTGATAGTAGTATGAGGACGAATAATCTATTAGCCATAGACATAACGTGCCGTTATTATCATTTGCATGACTTTTCTAGCATACAGAGGTCGTTGTTTAGTTTTTGCTCGGCGAAAAATTGAAGCAATTTTTAATATGTACTGTTGATAGGGATGTGCATTAGGGTGGTCCAAAAACAGTGAAGTCGGAATTGTAATGCTCTCACCCCCTAGGATTGTTCTATATCGAAAAAAGTATACCTCTATTTTTTTATTTTGAAGTAAAAAAAAATATTTAGAGGTCGCTCAAAGCGCTTAAAGTTTTCCATGTATTTTTATATGGGCAAAATAAACTTTTTTGTAGAAATTGTATAGAATTCCTGAAAGTCAGAATTTTTCGATAGGAAAACTCTGGTTCCCTTCAGGAGACTTTCAATAATAACACCCATTTGTCTATTTAACGATTTTTTAATACTAACGATTTTTTATTGGTCGCCCCATTGCATTTTGCGGGGGGTTCTAAACCCTAGAGGGTGAGAGCATAAGAATTCCGATTTTACTTTTTCACATACATTTTTGGACCACCGTAATGGAAATGCATATAACATTTAAAAAAATATTGGAACATATTCATGGTCTAAATAAAGTCGATAACTTTCAGGGGAATACCTGTAAAAAAAACTGCAACTAACTTTAGAGTCGACTTTATTTCGACTATGAACAGGGCCGTAGCCAGGATTTTTTTTCGGGGAAGTTCTGACAAAACATTTTTTGATTTTCACTTTTTTTCAGCATAGATTGACTAAAAGAAAAATACTAATAAAAATAAAATATTTCACACAAACAGGGTTGAAATTTTGAAATTCCTGCCGCAATTTTGTTAATATGTAAGTCAAATATTGTGGATTGTGCTACAGTAGTAGGAGACATTGATGTGTTTGTAACTTTGTCTCTTCTTTATTATTATTATTTTTTTTGTGTTTATCTTAAATAGCTCGCACGAAATGCGTATTATAATGCAACGTTCACGTCCGACATTTTTCTCAAAATGAATTGCCATAACTATTGTCAGGACGCCTACACCACGGAAACAATTATCAGCGTTTTTGACAACTCATACGTATTTCTTTATTGTCTTGACAGCATTGTCTAATGTACACGCGGCGTTAGGGTTTACACCGGACAATACTGTCACGACAATAGCAATACATGCACACTTTTTCACTAATACTAAGGTGTCCAGTTTGTTTAAAAAAAAAGCGACATTTCTGGAAAAAACGCCATAAATCGCCAATTTGTTTTTTAAATAAAATTAATTAAATCGCCTTAACAAATCCTTTATTTATAATTCAGTTAAAAAAAACCGAATATAATACCTTCATGATAATAATAAATAACACAAATCACTTATATAATAGTGGTGTATAAACAATTTTCTTTAAAAATACGCTTACTTTTTAAAAATATTTGTTTTAACACATTTTCCAATAGGACTGCGCAATTATTAAATTTACTATAACTCATATTAGTTGAGTAATCGCACATTTTATTCGAACTATTGAATTAAGGCTTTCCGGCCTCATCCTATTTCGAATCTTAGTTTTCGTTGAATTCATTATGGAAAAAACGCGCTCAACAAAAGCATTTGAGTGCGGCAAATATAATAATATGGAGGCTACTTTACTTTTATTTCCAAACAATTTATTGCCTGTTGCAGTTTTCACTCCCATTGTGCTTTAAAATGGCATATAAATGCAGGAATCCATTTAACTAAATGCATATTTTGCCAATTTTTTTTACTTTATTTTAATAACTTTTGCCTTTTTTACATCACTTTAAACACCCTGTCTAACATTTTGGCAGGATAGTTTTACATTTTGACAGGTACTTTCCAGGTAGATTACAGGCGGTTTCCAGGCAGAAGAAGAACATTTGTCACTTTTAAGTTTGCACAATGTGTCGGGTTTTGCAGCGTTTTTGTTGCATTTAAAATGCAACATTAAGCACTTTCGAACATATGTTTTCGAAGAGCGTTCATGCTATCGCATTTAGCAAATGTACATTTACGGGAGTTCGAAATCGTATGCTTTTGACAAACAGCCGTGTTCCAGTCGCTTATTCAGATCCGTATCTATTACGATCAATTCTCACGCAGAAGATAATGTGCAAAAAACCCTACTGAAAAGCAAAAAATACATTTTAAACCAAAAATTCAATACAAAAACTTGAATTGTTTTAACCATAACCGAACATTTATTTGTGTATATATTCATTTGTCGGTGCTGTCAAGTAAAATTTCCTCACTTAATTTGGAAACAAAACAAACAGATTTGATCACAAATTGATCCAGATTTCTCTCAGCATCACATCGATGTTGAATTGGCGTAACTTTTCTTTATCCAAATAATGTAAAATAATAAATGAAATCTCGATCGGCGATCACTGAAACGCAGCTAGCCACTGTATACGCGAAAAAGCAATGTTGCCACTTTTTCTCATTAAACCATGTTCGAATCGTGGAAATTTTGGAAGATCACAGGGTTGCTTTTAGCATTTAGATTCTTAATGCAAAAATAGAGTTGCATTTAGTTGCATTTAGGTGACGAATTTTGTATGGATAAATGTACATTTAGAGTAGCATTTAGAGCTAAATGCGCTAAATGTGCTTTTACGCGTAAGCAAAAACAGCCCATTAAGCTGAAATTAGTCGAGAACGCAGAACGTATACTTAAACGCAGTCTGTATACGCTGAATTTTGTCGATTACTGGAACCCTCAGTATTGCTAGTTAGTTTTCAGCAAAAACCTTATTCAATAGTAAATTTCAAATATTTTAAACATATTTTGAGTAGGAACTTATATCTTTTTTACCATCAGTAAAACTGACGAAGTGGCAACCATCTAAAGAAGGAGAAATCAGCTGACACGGAAAAATCTAAATTCCGCAGATTTCTGCGCTACGGGCTACAACTACAGAAAAATTCTGCGGTGCTGAGTTTTCATTTACATGGCGCTTTGGTAAGACAGATCGTGTCAGCTGACTCGGGTTTACGTACCGGTAGGTTTACGTTCTTGACTAATTTCAGCTTTAATGCAAAAATGGAGTTGCATTTAGGTGACGAATTTTGTGTATGTGAATGTACATTTAGAGTAGCATTTAGAGCTAAATGTGCTTTTACGCGTAAGCAAAAACAGCCTATTACGTACCTGTAGGTTTACGTTCTTGACTAGTTTCAGCTTAAGGCTGTTAATAATTATCTAACCTTGTATTATTGAATCATGGTTGATGCGTTGAATCGGTATCAGGTACCAAAACAGAAGTATTGGGTACCGCAATTTTTTTAAGTACTGGGTACCTGCAATTCAACACATCATTAGTGAACGAACGAGCTCAAAGCGTAATTGCGGTAAAAAGTTGCGGTTAGGGACACGATATCGAACAGAATGTATCGATATGGTACTCATTTAAAGTATCGCTTTAAAAATGTCGGGTACCCTTTAATATCGGAATAAAGACTCGATATTCCAAATATCGCTACCAAAATCCAAAAAAAATTATCTAAATATAGGTCTCGCATATATTCCGCTGTGGTGTAATGGTTAGCAGTGCGCACAGCTTGAAAATGAAAAACAGCTTCCCATTAAAACCAAATCGCCGTTCAGAGTCGACATAAAACTGTAGGGACCCCTTTTGTGCCACAACATTAAGGCGCGCGCGACAAATCGGAGGAGAATCTCGGTCAAACACTAACATATTGTGTAACAGAACGTAGAGATTGATGTGTTGACTTAAAACACCGATTACACATTTCTGCTCTTTAAAGCCCTTTTTATATCGGGACGAATTGTTAATAACATTGTCCTTGTAATGTGAGTTTATGACATTCGATACGATACTAGGGTTCTGGTACTCGATTCCCAAAAAATATCGTTTTTAAACTATCGAGTAGAAAATATCGGTATCGAATGTCAAAAGTATCGATATGGTATCGTATCGTATCGAAATTCGTGTCCCTAGTTGCGGTTTTTTTTTCATTTCTTGCGTTTGGGTACTGCTACATTTGCATTGCGTATAAACTTTTATAGTGTGTAATACTTTCGATAGTTTTGTGTAGAGGCTCTTCATATAAATCTATTAGAGCTCTGTAGTCGGTTCAACCTTCCAAGTGTTGTGAGCAGATTGGTATTTAATTAACCATGCCAGACGATGTATTCCGCGCGCGTGGTTGGTTTGAGGTCGGTAACTCTACATATTGCCGGTATTTGTTATAAGTAGTCATATAAAGTTGCAATTGTCACAAGTTACGTCACAAATTGATTCAGACCCTGCGTTTTATGTTTTTATAGGAAACAAAACAGCCAAATGCGCTCACACATGCTCAAGGTACCAACAACATGCTGGAGTTGACCCCACATGCCGGCCGGAAACCGTATCATTCAATGTTCGACTGGGGTGTATACTTTCCGTTTCTGGCACAATGCTTGCGCATAAAACGTTTCGAATATCCACAGGTGGGTATTTAAATATATTATAAGTAAAATAACTATTTACAGTCCAAAATCATGCACTTGTCTAGGTTTCCGGCGTTGTACAGGAGGATCCAATGCTGCAGCGTGCAATCAAGCAAGCTGCTGAACAAATTATACGTGAACAGCGTATTGAAACACATAAAACATTTAGAATAAATAATGAAGCGCCAACCGATGCAGAGGAAGAGTTGAAAAAGTATCAGGAAATCTTTAAAAGTCAGGAATGCCGTGCCAAAAATATTTTAATGAATATGCGCTCAACCTTGAACCACTACCTGATAATGCTTACATCTTGGTTGCTCTACAAACTTCTTCCATGCTTCTTATCAGGCGTCGTCACACACACAAGACAAATAGAAACATTGAAAAAGGCATCGGAACGTGCACCTGGCATACCATTAATATTTCTGCCATTGCATCGTAGTCATCTTGACTACATAATGGTTACATTTATCTTGACCAACAATGATATACGTAGTCCTCTAGTGGCTGCTGGAGACAACTTACAGATTCCGGTATTTGGCGGTCTTTTACGTTCACTAGGTGCTTTTTTCATTAAAAGAAAAATCGACCCTGTCGTGGGGAAAAAAGATATACTCTATCGCGCTATCTTGCAACAATATCTCCAACATGCACTAAAAATGTCACACAATGTTGAGTTCTTCATCGAGGGTGGACGCACCCGTACTGGCAAACCTTGTATGCCAAAAGGCGGCATATTATCGGTGATTGTTAACGCTTTTATGGATCGTAGCATACCAGATGCACTTTTGGTACCCGTTTCTGTTAATTATGAACGCCTAGTCGATGGAAATTTCGTGCGGGAACAAAAAGGCGAGAAGAAAGTACCAGAGTCCTTCTGGAAAGCCATGGCAGGAATTTGGAAGGTCGGTTGACATTCTGGAAATATCTAGTACCATTTCGCATTAACATAATACTTTCAGACACTCCACTCAAAATACGGTCTTATGCGCATCGATTTCAATGAACCCTACTCTATAAAAGAACTCGTGCAATCCTATAATAAGATTGCAACAGACAATAGCCCCTTCAAAGTTTACAAACCTTCTGAACGGTACGTAGATTTACGATTAAAACTGATTAATATACAAAATACATATATTTTTTAACAGCACCTTACAGCATAATCAGTCAACATCTTCATTGTATGGCACCGACGTAGTTTGCGAAGAGCACCGCACACTAATAGAAAGCATTTCACGAGAAGTTGTGTTTGACTGCGCCGCCGCAACATCAGTCATGTCAACAAATGCGCTGGCATTCTTAATGTTAACACGTTTTCGTAGCGGAGCATCAATCACCAAGATTGCTGAAGCATTAGATTCGCTACGCGATCATTTGAAAGGACGTAAAGATATGGCTTTCGCTGGAGACTCTCTACATATACTCAAATACTCATGTGATTTATTGGGTGAAGGTATGAACCGAAAAATGTAAAAAATCTTGTTTACCAATAATAAATGGCTTAATGGTTATTTAGCGTTGATATCGCGGACGCTGGACGACCGCGGACAAGTTTACTTGCAACCAGTACAAAGTATCGAGAGTTTAATTGAGTTGTCTTACTATTCAAATATGTTGACACCATACTTTGCCCTACAATCTGTAATGATGATAACATTTCACGAGTTGCTGCCGAAACCAGTGGACGGAAAGCCACTTGAAGGGGTAATGCGTCATTGTTTATAATTACGCATTTGTTTGCCGTAGTTAAAAAATGTTTATTTTTAACCGATAGGACACAGACGCAGCCAAACTGCCAGGACTTTCGAGGAAAAATCTTANGCAATCTGTAATGATGATAACATTTCACGAGTTGCTGCCGAAACCAGTGGACGGAAATCCACTTGAAGGGGTAATGCGTCATTGTTTATAATTACGCATTTGTTTGCCGTAGTTAAAAAATTTTTATTTTTAACCAATAGGACACAGACGCAGCCAAACTGCCAGGACTTTCGAGGAAAAATCTTATTGATGCTGCTTTAGCAAACTGTGATGTACTGCGTTACGAATTTATTTTGCATAAACCAACTCAGGTGTTGAGTAACCTTTTGGAGGTTTCATTAGACGAACTGATTGTGTGCGGATTGATAAAGTTGCCTGAAGTAGGTATTCTCACATTTGTTTGAATTGTATTTAATTAACCATTCGATACGTTAGATAAAAGAAGAGCCTGACTGCAATGCCGAAAGCCGCAAAATTGCGCGTAATATTGCAGCGTACCTAGACGATACAGATGATTCCGAATATACCGATTACGAGCAGGAAGAAATTTACAATCAAAACGAACAGCCAGACTTATATTTGGCGCTCGACACACTGACTGAACAGAATGCGCTTTGTGAAGTATTGGCACCGTTTAGTCACACATACTACTCAGTGGCGCAGTCACTAAGTATTCTTTACAAAAATTCTATGCTCGAAACTGAATTTATAAAATTTGTAATTGCTGATATTTCGAATAAGGTGAAAACTGGAGCTTGTCCATATGGTAAGTGCAGTTATTCAATTGTTCCGATTGGAAATCTGACAACTCTTAATTGTACATTGCAGCAGAAAGCGTTTCGACAGATTCGGTGCGAAATTGTTTAAAACTGCTGGAGAAATGGTCAGTTTTGGAGATTTGTAATGATCATGGGCTGCGCCTTTTAACGCTCGGAACACTATATGAGACGTCGAAAGAGTCTATAAAGACAATTGTTGGAAGAATATCAAAAATTGTTCCAACCAAATACGGCTACTTGCCTCTTTAAAAGACAAATC